TCCAATTGTGAGTAGAGCATATACGGGTAAGCACAACGCAAGATCAATTTGATGTAAAAATGCAACAAAAAGCACATAAATATCATTAATACGGATACCATTACATCGGTTTTACAAAGAAAGTTGAAATAAAGAAAAATGTTATTTAGTGAGATGGGTTCAAAAGTTATTGCTTGTAAATTTATATTTTGATGTAATCTTTGTAATATTTATACCTATCTGTTTGGAACATAACACTTCGGTGATTTTGTTTAGATTATTCGAGATGAGGAAAGCATATAGCATCATTGCGAAACAACGTTTTAGTCACGAAATTTAATATTTATTATCAAGCTCTGTCTTTTTTGATATAACAAGATAAAAGTGATGTAGCTAGGAAGACACAAAACTCCATATTTTAATTTCTAGATTGGATCCAACTGCAAATACCTAACGATGCATACATCAAATCAGGTTGGTATAGCATCTTCAGCAACATGGCATCGACAGAAAATAGAACATTCGTTGGTCATACCTTTTAGTAATCATGCTAGAATTATATAGCTGACTTCTTTTAAGCGTGGGCCACAAAAAGATGACCTACAAGTCAGTAGTTGAACCACTCTGTATTAGATCTTTACTTAGCTACTTCACTTTTTTGTGAAGTTTTGCGAATTTTCTATAAGACTTTCCTGTTCAGGGACTGGCTGAAACAACTCTCCTGCCCATCCACCGAAAGATCATTAAATAAAATAAAATCTAGAACGTTTAATGAGTAGTATGTCTTACAGTTACATGGTTAAAATTATACCCAGAAAACGCTTAATATGCACTAACTTCGGGAAACTTAGCATCCTGAACGCTCACCAGGGTTTCCGTCCCATAAACCCCTCGCCTAATTGTTTACGCTATCAGTTTTCAAACTTCTGACTATTCGGAAGATGTATCGGTGTGTTTTTAGGAAGATTTTATAAACTTCATTATCACACGTATGATCTGTGTATTTTTAGGAAGATTTTATAAGCTTCGTTATCTTTTTCTTTGGAAGATTGTATAAGCTTCGTTATCACACGTGTGATCTGTGTAGTTTTGGTAAAATATTCAAAGCTTTATTTATGTGAGATATTTTCTTTAAAATGCATATTTATAATTCTCTACATTGCGTTAGAGACATCAATTGTAAAAATATTTAAAAGGCTCTCTCGTCAAAGTTGCACATCACTGGTCAAAATTATTGTTGACTGATCTTCACCGTCCCACTTAGAAATAGAATTTGTCATTTAAGGTTTAACTTTGCAGATTTACATTAACATTGATGTTGGCATCCTTAATTAAAAGGCTACAATCGGTTTTCTTTCGCTACACACTGAACCACTGTTCTATGAAAGGTGTTTTCGTATCTTTTTCATAGATTTGCTGCAAAACATTAGAAAAGTTCTAATGGGCAGTCCTAATAGCGACTAGTCTTCATCTGGCTATGACTCATAGTCAGTAGGTGGTCATCATGTCAACGTCCACCCATTATACTTAAGTACACAACACACCAGGTAAGCTTCCCGACACCTTTATGATTGTACTACGTCACTCTTCTGTCATACGGACACCTTTGAAATTGAACTGGACTATATCAATTACTGTAATGATCATCGTTGACATTTCCCTGCAATTCTATCCTTAACATCTGGAACTAGCGACCGGTAATTGAGGGGGATATACAGAACGACTCAAGACTGGGCTTTCATGACAAACCGAATTGACCTCACCACGTTACAGTACGGGTTGGATAAAGATAAGGAAGCAGGAAAAGGGGCTATAACTAAATCTCAAAATTTAAAACATGGACCAAAATGTTACGTATCTTTTAGGTTTAGACTTATTTCAATCCACTGGAGAATTGGAAAATATTTTAGTTTTGCTAAATCTGTACCATGTCCACGCTACTTACGATTTAGGTTCTATATTTTTGTCACCCAGACGCTGTGCTGTATATCCAGTCACGTGACCATTTTATATATAAGTAAGAAGGGCCTCCTTGGGAACTGCCATCAACCCTCTAAACCCGATTTGCCGATTAACCTTTACACACACACACACACACACACACACACACACACACACACACACACACACACACACACACACACACATATCCTGGAATTGTCATTATTTTAGTTGCATGTATTGTTTGACTTAAATTTCAAGAGCTTGAAAGTCCAACCACCCACTCCGACCCAACAAATAGCGCCCGACTGTAGAACGTAGGAGCGGATCCTGGAATGGGAGTCGGCTCCTTCCCAATCCACCATAACCCCACATACACACTCCCACAAACCTCGCTGTCTAGTTATGGAGCCTGGAACAATATTACAGTTATGTCAGGAAAACTGACTTCATCATTAAGGTGCCAACCAATTTTAGCTTTCCCGAAGAACTCTCGAACAGCTAAATCTTTCTTTTATCTACGGATTTCTTTTGAGAAATATTCTATTCTCATGATGAAACATAGGTAGTCACAGGACGGTTTACCCTTGGTAAAATAACTTACGATACTAATATTTGCTCCGAAGTAAGCTAGTTTGGCATGTCAAACGCAAGCCTTTTTAAGTTTAAATTGAAATATAATTTTCGTAAACCCAAATTGGGGGTAGACTGCATGTTTACGAATTTATGTATTTTAAAATTAAAGCTTCCCACCATCACACCAATCTCCCACCCCCACCACTTGTATCTTTGTAAAACTGTAAAAACAAAACTGCATAATTCAAATCAGTTTTAGTAAAACATTAGGTATCATGTGCTACAGAAGTTTATTGGGGTTTTTTTTATATAAATAACATCCGGGAGCATTAGTGTTTGTTTTCAGTCGTGTGTAATTTTCGTGCAATCAATAATAACAGAGACTCGCTTGAATCATCGAACCATCTGATTTGAAAAGTATTCCCTACCCAATGTTTAAATACTTGCAAAAGCTTTCATTCTGCAATGAATATTAACTAGTATTAAATGGAACCAGAAAGTCCATATAGTAAAATTAAAAATGCAAATCATTTTGATACATCAAGAAAAAACACATTTATATTCCTAATTTGCATATTTGTAGTAAAATTTTGTTCCTTTATCATTGTTTGCAATGTATGTACTTTAAAATACGGATGTTTTGGTGTGACCATGTTCTAAGTCTGGAAAATAAAAATAATGTAATAACATTTTATGTATCTCAACTAATGATTTACGGATCCCTTATATCACCATCAAACACATCTAAATGATTTACGGGTCCCTTATATCACCATCAAAGATAAATGTCATTTGCCCATTGTTTTTTAGGTCTGAATTAACATGTTTGTTCGCTCATAGGTTTTGTTAAATAATCATCTTATAAACGTTTTCATTGTATTATTCAGAGCTCGAAGCTTTAGAAGAAACAATAAACTTCCAAACCGTCCGCAAGAATACACTAATTTATGTGTTTTTGTGCAAGCCAGTCATAACAGTTTTTCTTGGAATTTGTTTGAAAACTCACCTTGAAAATCAAATTTGTGACTTAAAACTTCCAATTCCCTGCCCAAAACATTTTTGTAATGGCAATACCTTATATTACTTGTTAACACACAAAACCTCAAAGTAGAATCCGTCTCTCTTTTTCGAATACTGAAAGCCAACCAAAACCAATGGCCTAACTAGGACAAAGAAACTGAATGCTATCTCTTGTTTGCTGAAGTGTCAGATAAAATTTGACATTTAAAAGTATTCTCTGGGGACGTTATCGTTGTAAATCAAATTAATTATATAATAACAATACAAATAGATTGTGAAATATGGGTCCCACCCATGTTTACCACCTAATTGATCTGATACCAACCTACAACTCTGAATTTTTACCCTCGAGATTCTTGGACAGGTTGAGAAAATCTGCTGTGTCACAGCAGAGACTTATTTTGTCTCAGATGATGGTGTTATTGATAGATGCTAGCTGACACAATTTTCCACCTGTCAATCAGTTAGTGAAATTTGGATCTTTGTAAGTCCAGTGTTGACACCAAATACACCAACAGTAACAGTTTTATCCCTATTTATAAAAGAAAGTATCCAGTATAAGATTTTATGAAAATTCTTGTTTATTCTTCCAATGGTGAATGTCACACAAGCATCCAGCTGTAATCAATCAAACTGCTGTTACCATATATACCCTAATAAAGCAATTTGATCCGATTTTATGCAATGTAAACACTATAATTCAATTTAATCACATTTTAATCAATATGAAAACAAGAATTAAATCTAATCACATTTCAAGCAATGTAAACACAATAATTAAATTGGTCTGTTTCAAGCATTGCAGAAATAAGAAATAAATTTTATCACATTTTCAGCAAAGTAAACTCAAGAATTTAAATCTGGCCACAGCTCATGTGCAGGCCTTAAATTTGGTAACAATTCCAGCAAAGCAAAATGCATGAATTAAATCTACGTATTATTAGACTCACAATGTGCAGAACGCATTGGGTAATGTGTTTTCAATAACATTTTATTCAGACGGCATCTCAACTATCATACACTTAGAGACGGCTTTTATTTATACCTTATTAAGCTATTTGTAGTGCAGTGTACCTTGATTCGTGGGAATATTTAAAGTCAAGAACAAACCTTTACTTTTAATTGAAATTTTCAGTCACGTGAAGGTAGCATATGAAAAAAAAATCACTTATTTGTAAAGTTACCGAGAGAGAGAGAGAGAGAGAGAGAGAGAGAGAGAGAGAGAGAGAGAGAGAGAGAGAGAGAGAGAGAGAGAGAGAGAGAGAGATTTGGATTTTTAACGTAGCCATAACAATTTTTCAGTCATATCGCTACGACGTCTACATTGTGGCAGTCTATAGTGATGTCTAGCACTGGAAAATCATTACGCAGACATATAGCATGAGGTCGCTCCCATTCACATTATCCGGACACATTGCGGACCAATCCTAATTCTGAGCGCCAAGCGAGGCAGCTTTTAGTACCATTTTTGTAAGTTTTTAGTATGACTCAGCCGGGGATCAAACCCACGACCTCCCAAATTCGAGACGAACGCACTAACCACTAGACCACTTTAGCATATGGAAAAAGTCACTTATTTGTTAGAGATTTCATGTAACTAAATAATAAATGATGCAAACCTAGAGACCATGAACAAACTTAACCAGTTTACGGTCAAAATAGTTCAAGATGTAGGTCATTGAGGCGTGTCGAAGTCAACATACCTATATCATAAGTTGAGTTGCAAGTGGAATGGTATACCAATGACGTCACAATCAGAAACTTTTAATTATTTTTCATTTACCTTCATTATTGATTGGATTTGAACATGGGGCTAGAAAAGAGTGATGTGATCGTGTACATATTCATACGGGTCAAAACCGCCATACGGCAGTGGTATGTTCTTAAAGACAATAAGCTCTGAGGACCGTGACACATAGTTCGGATAAAAACATTTCGTGATTTTTCCACCATAATCCAAATAGAAATACTTATCTAGAGTGATACAGTGTAAAAAAAGGGAAAACTGGTTGAAACGGACAGTGAATCCAGTCACGCCAGAACCAGTATAGGCAAATAAGAACCATGTCGAAGCATTATGATGCCCTACCGAATTCGTTGCACAAGATAGTAAAAGAAAGTTCTCCAGTAAGTGTAAACTTGTAGAAGGGGATTTTGGAATGCGAAGGTTTTGCCTAATATGCAGGAGGAACGAACCTGGAAAACTCTGCTTCCAGTGACGGAGCACAGGGGTGAAGATCATTCGGAACAATCTCTTCTCTTTCCTATGTAACTCCTTGAACTAGACTAGGAGGTAGTGTTACTTGTCTATGCTCCTAAAATAAGTAACAGAAAAGAGTGAAGACAACAAGCTTTGCAAAAATTTAACAAATAATTTATTTCCCTAGAATACAAAGTGAAAAATTATGAAAAAGAAGAACTTATAGTTTTACGAATTGAAGAACTTATAGTTTTACGAATTAAATCCCGACATAATTCGAAAATTGAAAAAATAGAAGTCCTAGTAATAAAAAGTCATGAATGAGACTGAGTTCTAGTCCCGACGAAATCCAAACTGGAAGGCGATGATATCTGCTGTGGTCAGCGAAGTGCTGCTTTGTTAACAGTCATTTGTTGAAGCACAGAAAATATTATTCTAGTTTTGAATTCAGTATAACTTCCAACAAATGTTATCTAAGAATTTTATCAGAGCGATTATGCATTTCCAGAGGTAAAAAATACTTGAATTTCAATAATTTGAAGAAAATGAAAATTCAGTCCAAATTGGTCACAACATAATGACAACTTAAAATGTCAGTTGTTTGGAGCCCAACTGACAAACTTTATATATATATATATATATATATATATATATATATATATATATATATATATATATATATATATATATATATATATATATATATATATATATATATATATATATATATATACAGTAGTCATTGTGACACTTCCCCAAACTGGTCAGTGTTTCTCGGACGAACAAACTGGTCAGTGGTTGTCGTCTGGGTGATCGAAAATTAGATTTGTATAAGATTGTGTGATGAAAATAACACTGGAAAAGTTTTAACCAATAACTTGTACTTGTAATTTTGAATGTTATTCTTGCAACTTATAATAAGAAAATGAAGAAATGACATAAAACTTTTGCTGTCATTGCTCTTGGTGATGACACGTCATTTAGTTTTTGTAATGTCTATTAAAGTATTATGGCGTAATGACCAGGTTACTAAGGACATTTTACATTTTTGTTACATCCGATTCTTTTTCAAACCCTACGATACTGGAGCTGAACAGTTTCGTAAAGTGCATAGTGTTTAAATTTTAGAGAAAAACAATTTCACCTGGTTTACTCACTGGTTATCACAGCTATTTAAAAATAAAATACCGTTTATTAGGTCTTGTTAAAAGAAATTTTAGTTCTCTTCATTTTTTAGTTGCATTAGTAATGCGTGTAATATGGTTACATACAGCTTGGGGAAAAGACAAGCTACCTCCGCACAGCATATAACTGTTTTACTCTTTAAAAGTTTGCAAATTCAGTCATTTCAGAAGCCGATATTGCCAACTCTGGAAAAATTCATTTTCCTTAATGTAAGTGCACTTTGGGCTAGTTCAGGCTGCTTTTTCAAGGACATGGCAGCCATTTTGATCAGATATTTGCTAAGATCACACACGATTTCCACAACTACAACATGTAAAACAATTTCAGTCACAAAACTTGGAAGTAATATGAAGGTACGCCTTACTTTTCTTCTATGTGCATTTTGCAAGTGCAAGCAACATCATTTTTCACCTGTCACTCAGTGTTGGTGCTAATGCACTGTGACGACGGGATTAAGTTGCAATAAAAAATAGGTCAAAACTGCTTTACGTCCTAGATGTATCTTATGCTAGAGTAACAATACCCCAAGGTCTTCAGACTACAAGTTGCAAAAGCATATATGTTAACGCTTTTGTCCATGATTGTAAATTGAACTTTAAGATAAATACTCACTTGCAAAAATCATGTTAATACAACTTTTAAATTCAGAACATTCTAGAAACATTTTTATATAGCAATGGTTCAAGGTCAGTCTTGTTTACGATTACATGGCTTATTCGTTGGACATTCTGTGTCGTTGTAGTTCAAGTGAAGGTGTGTATACATATGTTTTTGATAAACAAATATTTTATTCCTGTTTTAAGATCAGTTTGTTGGAATCAGTTACAATTGTGTTGAGATATATTTTGAAAACAATTGTCTATTTAAATTATAAATTAGAATTCTAAATTGTTCATTGGCTTTTTGACTAACACACTGCTATGTGATTATATTGAACTCATTCAAAGACATACCGGATTTGTGTTCTTGTGGCACATGGGATCATTAAAGGCTACTAACATTTGTATTTAAGATTATTTGGGATTTAAATCACAAAACTGTAAGCGTCTCTTGAATTTTTACTACGTAACTTATTAAAATAAATTCTTTGTTCATTTTTCTTAAATTGTTAGTTCTGCTTTCATTCTTTTACACAATATAAGGCCTAGAATCGTAACAATATTTTGTTTTGTTTATTTAATTGGTATTATATTTGGCCTTTCTTCATGATTCTATGTTCATGATTATATGTTCATGATTCTATGTTCATGATTATATGTTCATGATTATATGTTCATGATTCTATGTTCATGATTCTATGTTCATGATTATATGTTCATGATTATATGTTCATGATTATATGTTAAGTTCATGCGTAGTTTGTACCTGACCATGTCAAAATTGAACGTAACGATGTACCTGACCAACGACATTACTCTGTAAAGAACATTACACATAATTAATATTTTGGATTAAATGTTCAGATCATTATAAATGGAGGTAAAAAATATTTATTTGATTAGGAGTTTATGACATCTGCTTTCCACTTGGAAATAGTGTTAAGTAAGCTTCAACGTCAGAAAAATAGAAAGAGAAATGCAGTTGCAGAGAAAGGAAAAAGAGAAACAAATGAAATGAGAGAGAGAGAGAGAGAGAGAGAGAGAGAGAGAGAGAGAGAGAGAGAGAGAGAGAGAGAGAGAGAGAGAGAGAGAGAGAGAGAGAGAGAAAATCAGCTAGTTAAAATGCAAATGAAAAGTGAATGTCTATCTTCAAGGGTATTGACTTGAAACCTGAGACATATCAACAAATTGTTTGATAAGTGTTGCTCAGACAAAAAGTTGGTCAAGACTACGGAAACCTCAAAAAAACATCATATTACTTGAAGAATTCAAGAATTTCGACCACAGTAACATTAAGACCTACCTTGATGAGCAAAAGGTCGACACTAGCAAATACTGCTAGTACATCTCAGTGACGTCACTAGGGTTGGTGTCACCCAGTGCGGTAACTCATTTTATCACCACTATAGACCTCCTTCCTGCACAAAATTCATAAATGTTATAGACGGTCATTTTGGTGTAACCCCCTCTAATGGTGTCACCCGGTGCGGCCTGCACCCCTTAGTGACGCCACTGGTACAGCTGGCGATTATTCCTTGACTCACAAACTTTCTTTTGTCAATAATTCTTTCACTCAGCAGTTTGATTTTTTGGGGGTAACAACCATCTCAGTCTCATGTGAGCTGTTCTAAATTCAGTCTAGCAGAAATTTTATGAATTTAGCTTCTGAAAAGACTGTTCAGAAATCCATCTCCTAATACGTGCGCCTGTTGCAAGGAAAAAGGCGGGTTATTGTCTGATTTACTACAGCTTGAAACATAGGCAACTCAATCGTTCCAATCCTATCCCTATTAAAATTTTAAGAGACAGCATTTTCTTAGAGTATTTTATTATGATATACTTTGTCGCTTTCTGAGAAGTGTTCTTTTAATGAACGTGTTCTTATTATGGAAGTAGAGTGCGACTTTGTTAATTTTCCTCTCCATTATGTAAATTTGTCATAAGAATTAGTCCTGGGGCCGTTGACAATCAGAACAATCAGAACAATGCTGTATTTACCCAACAAGGTTATTCATTACTTACTTGGAAATTACCTAGCTAGAGATAAGTTTGAGTTTAATTCACTTGTAACTGGCAATCCTTCTTTGGATCATAAGGTCGATTCTGTTTAAAATGAAATCCTTGATTTATACTCAGCTTGTGCAATTACTAGATCTATGGTTAAGAAATCTGTTATGAATGATATGTATCAGAAATTGTTCCTTTGGCTGAAACACGTATTGTTCATGCTTTTGATGAGGACACTTTTCATCTTATTATTGATCAATCAACAGGTGATGAACACAGTGATCCTCGTTTTTGCTACTCATTTTCTTTATTCTGAAAACGATAATCACCTGTTGTCGAATGGGAACAAGATCCTGAGATATCCTCTTTGTTTCAGAGAGCTAATAGCGACATGGAAGCCACACAAATACCTGTTTATTATTTGGTTAAATATGGGGTCCTTATTGGAAAACGAAGACCATATGAGGTACTCTAACTGTTGTCCTTAGTCGGATAGACAGAATATTTTGGTAATTCATTTGGCTGATCATTTAGGGATCAGTAACACCTATCACATGATCCCT